GTTGGGAGACTAGCAGTGCATTCCTACTGTAAGCCATGCAGGAGGCTTTTCATGATTAGTGTCAAAAGGTTGTTGTCACATACCCAGCAAACCATGGATGGATCACTGAGAGCGAGTAATGTTAAACATAACAGATCACTGAGAGAGAGTAATGTTAAACATAGATCAGTCATATTTTCGTCTTTATAACAATGTAAAGAGTATAAGGTAAAGGTAAAGGTTCCCTTGCTCGAAAGCCAGTCGAATCCCGGAACGCTGTTACCTTCCCACCGAAGTGGTCCCTATTTATCTACTTGCAATTTCTTGCTTTCGAACTGCTAGGTTGGCAGGAGCTGGAACTAGAGACGGGAGCTCACCCTGTCTTGCGGCACCCGGGTCTTGAACCGCTGAACGACTACTAAAGAGTATAGATCTACATATATGCTAAGATGTGATTTTAATGATAATAATAAATAATATATATCTTTAAAATGGAAGCCATGTTACAACAGTCTAAGCTTGGATCAACTTGGCAGAATATATCACTGCTTTCTCCACAATACCAGGAAAGACAGGGTGATTAAGGGTTAAGAAACTGGATTAAGCATTAAGAAACTAGAACACAACCTACCTATAATATTTTGCAGAAATCCTTCCATTAACATGTTCTTGTTTGGATTTGGAACTATAAGTAATTTGGCAGTGCTTTCTAGAGATTCCATCATATCTAGTAAGCTTTACTCCACGATTATTTATTTATTTATTCATCTTAAATCCCACTCCTTCCTTCAATATATGACTGAGAAGGATTTACTCCCAAACAATCTGGCCTATGCTTCTTGGTTATGCTTCTGAATATAAAACAGTATAAAGTACTCCAGTATTACAAACTCTGCACCGTATATAACAATATAGCTCCTATCAGTATCCTCATAACAAGAGTCTTTAGTTGATATATATTTATTTCGAATAAATTCAGTAATGATTTTTTCAAGTGCTTTTGGATTTAGACTTCAATGTAGCTAAAAATAAATAAATAAATAAATAAATCCCACTCCTTCCCCTGCCAAGCAGGGCTCAGGGTGGCTTCCAATAGTTAAAATATACAATAAAATCAGCATATTACAATTTTAAAATCTATATACTACAACTTAAAACCGAACAATCAGTCTACTATCTCAGATGACACCCCAAAAATCCACCACAGGTGGATAACGGGAGGCAGCCAGCACTGAGAGCATAAAAGGGAGGCAGGGCAGCTGATCTGTCCTCAACCACACACCAGTGGAACATGTCGGTCTTACAGGCCCTATGGAACTGAACCAAGTCCTGCAGGGCGCAAGACTCACTAGACAGTTCCACCAGGATGGGGGCCAGAGCCGAAAAGGCCTGGTCTTGGTAGAGGACAGCAGGACTGCTCTGGAGCCAGAGATCACCAATAGGTTGTTACTAGAAGAAGAAGATTGGATTTATACCCCGCCCTTCACTACCCAAAGGTGTCTCAGAGCGGCTTACAAACTCCTTTCCCTTCCCCTCCCCACAACAGACACCCTGTGAGGTAGGTGGGGCTGAGTGACAGAAACTGCTCTTTTTCAAGAACAGCTGTGCCAGAATTATGGCTTGCCCAAGGTCATCCAGCCAGGTGCAAGTGGAGGAGTGGGGAAACAAACCCGGTTCTCCCAGATTAGAGTTCACGCACTTAACCACTACACCAAACTAGATGATCACAATGCGCTCTGAAGGGTATATAGGGAGAGGCAGCCCTGTAGATACAATGTACAGAATCTACAGAATCTACAATCTACAGAAGCCAGTGCAGTTGTAGAGCACAGGTTGTATGTGTGTTCTCAAAGAGGACCCAGTAAAGACCCGTGCCACTGGCTGTCAACCTCTGAACTGCAAAGCTCAGCCTACTGAGTTTTTCTCAAACATAAGTGGGTCTTATTCCAAGGCTTCAAATGTTGCTCAGCAGACTAGCTGGACTCATCTTAATATTACTGTGTGATGTCTCCTGAGAATGGCACTACTTGAGGTGTCTCATGGTGACACAAGGAGGTCTTGTATCACCTTGACATTTGAGGAGAGGAGACTATTCAGCAGCAAAGCCACTGGTTTATTAAAGTGAACAGTGCTCTGCCCCCCCCCCCTTCCTACTAGCCTTGTACTACTTGATAATATTCCTAACTGAATCCAAATCAGCCAGCAATAACTACAAATATACACTCAAAAAACTGTATAAGCTCCAAGGAATCCATGACTACACTATTCACTTTTGCAGGAGAGAAAAAAAATTGGTAGGCAAACTGGTAGTGATATGCTGTCATAGTGTAATTTGGATGCAACTAATGATAGAACAGCAATGATCTGATTGCAGGGAAAAGCCTCGCTGTGGAACAACCCTCATTCTCTAATTTTGGGATACATCTTTTCCATCAGTGGTTCAGAATAAGAAAGTCATGGATTGATTGGGTTTTTCACCAGGGCTAAAAAGGATTACAGAATCTCCCTTAGAATTCTTGATTTACTATATTCTAGTGTGTATACTGAAAAACTAATTTCAATACCTCTTACAGTGAGCATTACAAATATATAATCAGAGTTTCTATTCGCTATTCCCCCCCCCAAAAAAAAAACGTTAGGGTAAAACCCTTTATACTACAGTCTTTTCCAGCTCTTTAATAATCTGTTCAGACAGCAAAATTCCAGTCCCTTTTATTTCAAATGTGGTAAGACTAAAAATCAATTGATTTCAAAGGAAACGAGTCCCAGCATGAATCTGTTGCATTTTCTGCTATTGCAAGGTACAGAGGGAATGAAATTATTCATTAGAACTCCTATTGCTAAACATTTCTTCCTAAAGATCTGTTACACTGCAAAGTATACCATTTATCATACTGCTTTAACACTACACACGAGGGAAAATGATCTAGCTTCCAGCAGCTGAACCACAATGGGGCTGGTCATATCTATCTTCAGCTTAATATATATGTTTATGTACTAAAAAGTAGAAGCCCTCCCCCAAATCCATGGTTAACCCTGCTTTGTTCAACAACTTTTCAAAAACACATTTTCATTATGGGATTGGGGAAACACTTTCTTTGGTTGAAAAAATTTGTTCTTCAGGTTTATTATGTGCTCAAGCAACCTGCCTCTTCTTGCCTCCCAAACAGTCAAAGACAACAAGAATATTCATCAAGGTCCACAGAATATAGATCCCAGAGAACGAAACAACTAGTTTCACCATGTTGATGCCCATTCTATGGTGCCCTGTCCAGTATATGGCCATCTTGAGACTATCACAGTCTAGAACAGCAAAAAACAAAACAAAAACAATAACAACAACAAAAATACCGTTTAAATATTAATTATAGGCCCCAGTCACACGGCAAAGTTGCTGTGGGAGAGGCACGGATGGTGGGTGGATTATCCCGGCGCGATCACACCCCAACATGTGGGAAGTGGAGTGCACCCGTGGCTTACCGCCAAAAATGCACATTAAAAAACTAGTACCTCCAAAGTACTAGTAAACGTTTGCCACGGGCTGCCTCCAGACTCCCGTGGTGTGATCGCGCCAGCATTTCCCTCCAGTCCCTCATTTACCCGCCGGCGCCGGGGGAAGGACCCGTGGTGTGCCGCCAGCGCGTCTGATCGCGTAATCGCGGATCAAACTGCGCCGGGGCAATTAGCAACGCCTCCCCTCCACGATATCCGGCCCGTGTGACCGGGGCCATAGTCAGTCATTCAGAAGCAGCATTTTATATGCATAAATGCCTGTTTAATAAGTAATTATTCATAGATATATTGTGATCAAGCTTCAGTTTTCCAACTAAACATTTGGAAAAAAAATTAGGCTGGGTGGCTCAGTCATAGAACATCTGCTTGGCATATAGAAGGTCCCATGTTCAATTTCCAGCATCTCTAGGTAGTAGCTAATGTACATGAGACCCTGGAGAGCTGCTGCCAGACAGACTACACTGAATGGGCCTTCATGCCCTTATCCATCTGGGTTCGGTTTTCCCTGTAGGGGTCCAGGACACCCAGGGCCTTCCCCCAAAGTGTGGCTTTGAGTCTCACTGCTCTTCCGTTGTGCACTGGGCACGTGGCTGTACTGCAGCCCTCTCCAAGACGTAGGAGACACAAGGAATAATCATCATTCCAGGCCATTTTTGCACCGTTCTCCGCACATTTCTTAAAAAGAGCCATCCTACTGCTATGTAAGTGAAGTTCTTCGGAAGACTCTGTGGAAAACTTCATCTTTCTCTTTCCTGAGGCTCCATGAAGTAGCTATACTGAAACACGTCCTCACGGTGGCAAAAAGAGAACTGAGGGAAGGAGTGCTAGCACCGCGCCTATCACATGACCTTTTGGGCAGGAAAAGGGATCTTTATAGACAGAGGGGAGGAGAGCCTAGAAGTTTCTTCAAAATAGCTTGGAAGCTCCTCTCCATGGCTGGCCTGCAATCATACAGTCCCATGTGGGACTACACAGAAGCCACAAAGATGAAATCAGACTTTTTGTCCCCTGGGAATCTTCATGAATCCCCGTCCTGTCAATATATATTTGGGGAAAAAATAACTTCAAAAATCTACACAAAAACAAAGAGAGGAAGCAAAAACTGCAAGGAGACAGTGGACCTTTTTGATAAATCCCACTGAAGTGAATGGGAATTTCACAACTTAGCATTCGTATTATTCATTTTAGTGGCGCTTATGCAGGATAATTTTCCATGTTTGCCTTTGGTGCTGCCTTCTGCTGACCAACTGGCATAGTAAGACAAATGATATATTATGGATGTGAAATTTTCCTGTGGTAACCTGAACTGACGCACGCTCAGAGGAAAAAGCTAAATAAACTTTGCTGTCTAACAATGAAATGACAGATGGAAGGAAAAAAACACAAATCTTTCCAAAGTTACCTTTTCAGTATGATGATAAAGCTCAAGAGCTGAATGTTGGAAGACCAGTTCATTTCATTATGAATTCCACAGCAGAGAACTAATGGTGAAATCCAGAATCACTCACCCATGAAGTTAAGATATCCCTCTCCTCCAAGTGCATGAGTAATGAGGCGAATCATTTTATGAAGCTGTATTCCTCGATCAATAACTGGAGTGAGAGGTGAGATAATACTCATATAGGTATACATCTCTGCATCCATCAGCCAAAATGCCAGAGTCTTATCACCAACAAGGGCCTAGGGAAATAAAGAAATGAGGGACTGAGAAGAGAAATCGTCAGCATATCATTGACTCTTGGGATAGAAATTAAGAAGATCTGATCTGCATAAAAACATACTCTCCCAAAAAATTAAAAACCAGGAGACTATGAAACACAGTCTCTGTATAAAACACACACAAGATTTCTGGGTAATGTGAAACTTGGTTGAATTCCATGCATGCAAACTCAATAATTGCCTTAAAAATTATTGTCATAAAATTCTGTCATTCTGCCAAAATAGTAAATTCAAAAATGTATTTATGCCTTATATTATTTCTACAAAGTATTTTTACAGCAGATGCCCAGGTTTCATTTAGTTGAATAATAGCTAATTTTTAGTGACTCAGTAGCATCAACATATATCCAAATGAGTACCTGAACTACCTCCAAAAGATAATAGTATTTATACAGTATTCTTGGCACTGAAAACACTTCACATACAGCATCTTTTTATAATCCTGACAGCTGACTTTGCAAGTTAGACCAGCATTACCCCCATATAGCAAATAGGCACACTGGAGGTGAGAAAGAGAGTTGTCTAAGGCTGCCTAGTGAGTATGAGGCAGAGAGAACATTTGAACCTGGATGACAGGAACTAGGATGTAAAAAAATGACTGCTTCTACACAGATATCCAAATATGTCTCTTAACTGTTCCTATCTACATATATAATTCAACAAAAGCCAAGGACTTAAAAGCTGATAAAGAAATATCGACTCAAAATAGTTATCCCAACTAGAAGAAAACTGCATGACACCTTCAGTTAGCAAAACATGCCTTGGAGTTAAACTCCGTTTTGCCACTCAAGAGTTTAGCCTGTATCTCAGCCTCAAAGACCTTCAGGAAATTCGAGGATGCCCAAAACACATTTCAGTGACTGAGCTACTAGATACCCTCTGTAGACAGAAAGTGCCAGAGATAGATTGATTTATCTCTTTACAGACAGGAGTGTAACATTGTAAATATCCTCATCCAAAAAGTTCAAGACAAACATTACCTATGAAATCTAAAAGAAGAACCTAATCACAGCTGTCCATCCACTAAACCAATGTACTTAAGGGCAGAGCAATCCCGTGTTGTCCCTGTGCTACGGTGGCCGGACACAGCACAGCTGTGACACTGCGATTCGTGGGAGGTGGCAGAGCTACTCCTGGAGGTTGTAAGAGCAAGTCTTGCATGCTCCACCACCAACGTATACATCAGTGCCTTCTCAGTCTCAGTCCAGCTTGGCTGGTGATGGCTGTCCCTGCCAGATGTTGCAGTGGCCATGTCACCACCATACAGGGGAATGTGAAGGCAGGCCATCCTACGATGTGAAGATGCCAGTCCCATCACCTTGCCTCACCCCCCCCATGCTTACACCATGGCATTCACCCACCAGAAGATGGCTGCAGGATATGGGCAATAAGCCTCCCCGTCCATGACCCCTTTCCCAGTGCCCTACTGTTCTGGATAACACTTGTGCACTGGAGGTAACTCTTAGGTAACTATTCCTGCCTGACACGAGGCATACTTGTGCACTGGAGTTTCTTAGGTAACTATTCCTGCCTGACATGAGGCATGGGTTTTTGTCATCATCTGTTGCTGCCATCTATTGCTTTATTGTTTCATGGTTTTATGTTGTAAGCCGCCCTGAGCCCATTTTTGGGGGTAGGGCGGGGTATACATTAAATAGATAAATAAATAAGCCATTCAAAGAGGGAGTAGGTTGCACTGGGGGGGTACCCACCACATGGATGACTGTGGCTCTCTCTGCCCACCACCTTCAGGAACAGTACCCACTGCCTATACATCTTTCTGGATGCCATACTGATACACCTCAAGGAGCATGTGTGCTTCCCCACTGGAGAAGGTGACCTTGCACCTATTAGGGCAGGGTTTGCATCATTCAGAGGCTTCCTAATGTGGTGGGGGACATTGACTAAACCCACATAGCCCCCATCACCCCTGGGAGGAGCTGCAGTGGTATACCATAATTGCCACACTTCTACAGCCTGAATGTTCAGATCTCCTGGGACCACCAGGGTAATCTTTATGTACTTCGTGGTCAAGTTCCCCAGGCAGTGCTCATGATACCCAGATCCTTGCTGCATCCAGTCTCAGTTGCCTGTTGCAAGGTTCACAAATTACAGTAAATAGACAATAATAAACTTGGTAACAGTGATGCTTTGTGATGTTTAATTCTTTTTGTTGTTTCAAAACACAGGAGTCACCCACAGAAGATGACATCAACAAGAACAAGAAGTACGAACATCTCGAGTGGTTGTTCGTTTCGATGGAACTCTTTATCAACCAAAATTCGAATCTCTGGTGGTCTTATTATATTCAATAATGATATCAATCTTATCCAATACAGCTTCAACAGCACAGAGGTCTTAATCCAATACAGCTTCAACAGCACACAGGCTAACAAGTCTTACATTCGGACAACAAGTCTAGTTGTTAGCCATCTAGTCCAACACTCTGTCACACAGTGGCCAAAAATACCAGGTGCCATCACGAGGTCCAGCAGTGGGGCCAAGACACTAGAAGCCCTCCCACTGTTGCCCCCCCCCAAGCACCAAGAATACAGTGCATCACCTGCCCCAGCCTGTGAGTTCCTATCTATACCTTGTGGCTAATAGCCACTGATGGACCTCTGCTCCATATGTTTATCCAGTTCCCTCTTGAAGCTGTACATGCTTGTAGCCACCACCACCTCCTGTAGCAGTGAACTCCATGTGTTAATCACTCTTTGGGTGAAGAAGTACTTCCTTTTATCTGTTCTAACCCAACTGCTCAGCAATTTCATGGAGTGCTCACGAGTTCTTGTATTGTGAGAAAGGGAGAAAAGTACTTCTTTCTCGACCTGCTCTATCCCATGCATAATCTTATAAACCTCAGTCATGTCACCCCTCAGCCGTCATTTCTCCAAGCTAAAGAGCCACAAGCGCTTTAACCTTTCTTCATAGGGAAAGTGTTCCAACCCTTTTATCATTCTAGTTGCCCTTTTCTGCACTTTTCCCAATGGTATAACATCCTTTTTGAGGTGTGGTGACCAGAACTGTACACAGTACTCCAAATGAGGACATACCATCGATTTATACAGGGGCATTATGATACTGGATGATTTGTTCTCAATTCCTAATAATCCCCAGCATAGCGTGGGCCTTTTTTATTGCAGTCAATCATGCCTGTGCACTATGTGGCAGTGGCTGCGACAGTGCCTTACCCTCTGCTCATCTGTGTCTGTTTCTGTGGCTGCAATTTTACCAGGTTGAGGCCCTGACCCTTGTGTCCACTGGGTCTTTGTTGCTTCAACACCCTCCTGTCACTCCCTCCCCTGTGGGTCTCCAACAGACACTAATACCTCAGCCAGGCACAATGATTCAACTTTATCAAAGAGAGCCTGGGACAATGGACTGGTTCTCATTAGATCACAACCCCTGTGACCAGTATCCTGCTCAGTCCTTTGCCACTAGGGGCACCTCCTCAATGGCAGTGTGGAGGGAATGACTAGGATGCTGTATGTGTCTGAGCACTTACAAGGAGTGGCTTCTGCTGCAGTGTGAGAACTTGGCTACGCAGTTGGAGTGTCACTTCTCCCTGTTGGATTGGCACCTGCGTATGCTTGCCCCCACAGCTGCCAGGTTCAGGGGGCAGATAACATGTCCAGTTCAGCTCAGTGCCACTGTGGTAGGCCCAGAGGACGGCTCAGTGCTACTGTGGTAGGCTCAGAGGAGGTACAGGGATAGGGGACTGGAAGGCTTGCCTACCTGTTCACATGCAGCTTCCCTTTGGGATTCTGGTGGAGGGCCTGGTGTGCTGGATGAAATCTGGGAGAAGTCAGCCACAAAATATGGACTCTGATCTCCCTGGGGTATATTCCCCCAGGCGCTTGCCCAGCAGTGCTAGGTGCCCTGTATGTGTTGTGCCCATCACTGGGGTGCATGTACGCTCCCTCCAAGTATGCACGGCAGGGAGCTATCAGACAGCATTCCATGCCATGCATACTACCTCTGGAATTCTGGGGCGACCGCCTGGAAACATTTGTAGGGTGAGGGGGATGACTGGGTCCCGAGAGGAGCACAGCCAGAGTGGTGGAGTGTGCTGATTGGGTACGCACTTAGTGGGTATTCTGAACTGCTTGGGGTCCTGGGGGCATGGCCACAGCTCTGTGTGGGGGACTGAATTTGAAGTTACCATGGCTGTAAACGAGCTATGACACTATTTTTTTCTGATGCGGCTTTGTGCTTACTCAAGGGGGCATTCCCATGCTGAAAACACTTAAGAAGCCACCTAACTGCTGCCACAGTCCTGAAATGCCCACATCTACACTGGCGGCAGGGATTGTGCTGTTGCTCCACTGGTGTGTGGCTACAGTGCTCCTGAGCCAGTGGGACTCAACAGCACCACACCGCTAATGCCCTGCACCAGCATAAACTGCCCTTACGCCGGTATAGGGATCAGTCAGGTCCCTATTCTGATTTGCCACCTCCCCTTAAGGTTGCTCTGCTAGTCACCTTTCAAATTAAAGCATGGTCTTTGCCCATTACAAGACATATCAACCCTCCCACTCCCCACTGTGAAGCATCTCAGGCTAAAAATATCAGCACAGCAGGGAAGAGGTGCAACACCCCAGCTCAATCATTCTTGGAGCTCACAGTCCCCTCGACTGAGTCCACTGCCTAGATATTTATCTATGGGAAAGCTTACTTGACTGCCTAGATATTTATCTATGGGAAAGCAAAAGTTGCCAGCCTGCTCCAAACATCTGACGAGAAATCAATAATAATAAATACAGTCCTGTACTGCAGAAGTTCACATACATCTCAACAGATATTACTTTTTTGCAACATCATTACTGTGCCTGAAACATCCCTAAATCCTTGTCATGGTTAAAAACCTGAGGTTGAAGGCCAGAGAAAACCTCTGCTGATGGAAGGAATTTCTGTCAGCTGATCAAGATTTCTCTTGTTCCCCACTCCTGATGCAGCACACAATCCCCCTACCCCAATCCAATGCTGCTCCTATGGTACAGGAAACCCTCATGAAGGGAGTCAGAGGTCTGTTATGAGATGGAGGAATCAGTGAAAATACCCCCTCATCAGTGGAAATTCTGCACTGGATTCAACCCCTGGTATAGAGCTATGGCTAAGAGATTGACCTGGGAACCATAATTCCATTTCAAATAACATCTCTTCCAAATCTCAACAAATGGCCTCAGTGAAGTTGACCTCCCCAGCCTGTCTTTCATATGCAATATACAGATAATGTATATGCTTACAGTGTTGTAAGCATAAAAGTAAGAATACATGAACCACTTCATAAGGTCTATATAATTGTCTAATATTTTTATCATCTTATTGACAAGATTGCTATTCATAGATTATTCGGACGTTCTGTAGCTTTGAACTTTCCCAAGAAACACGATGTATTGTTCAAGAATGTATTCAAAATTTGTACCCATTTTTCCAGCATTATTTCAGAACTACAATTTTTCTCTTGACTTTGTTTTGGTACCTGGTCATGACTCTCTGCATATGTAACGTATTTTTCTCCATGTCGTCTGTTCGTTAGTGTAAACACTATATCACCCATATTCCATTCTTCATCCTTAAACTCCTTTAATAACTGGAAAACAAAATCAGTCTAAATTAGTTCTCGTTCTATTGCACTACATTACATTTCTGCTCATGCCCCCCATTAGAAAACTAACATTAATATTCTGAGACTTCCCAAAATTCTAAGTTCTAAAATGCTACAAAAACAGGTTGCTTACCGGTAACTGATGATCTTCGAGGGGTCATCTGTGCATTCACACCTCTAGGATATAGTGTGCCTGTGCCAACCTCGATCAGTTTCTCTTGAAAAGCGAAAGGAATTTTTGTGCCCGCTCCCTCGTCACGCACCAGCCCCACTGCGCATAACTAAGGGAGGGGCATGACAATCCTACCAGTTCCTTCTGACCACTGCCATCAGTCTCAGAGTAAGAAAAAGGAGAGGACCAAAAGCAGAGGGAAGGAGGGCAGGTGGTGTGAATGCACAGATGACCACTCGAAGATCATCAGTTACAGGTAAGCAACCTGTTTATCTTCTTTAGGGTCTCTGTGCATCACACCTCTGGGAGATTAGCAAGCAGGCCTACCTGGAGGAGGGAGCTGAAGATCCTAGACTTGTGCCGCCTGCAACACTGCCCATCCCACCATGGAACGTTGATGAAGATGCACATCCAGGGCATAATGCTTCACGAATGTGTGAGGGGTAGCTAAGGTTGCTGCTTGACAGATGTCAGTGAGTGACGAACCTCTCAGAAAGGCTGTGGACATGACTACTGCCTGGGTGGAACGCACTCGGAGCAGGCCCAGAAGTGGCCTTTTAGCCAGTACGCAGCACAGTGTAATGGTTTCCACGATCCACTTGGATAGACACTGTGAAGAGAGCTTCTAACCCTGCACAGGTGTACTATGGAAGACGAACAAGGCTGGCGACTGCCAGAAAGCCCTAGTTCTATCGAGGTAGAAGAGTATGGCTCTCTTGACGTCTAAAGTATGAAGACGACGTTCCTTGTCGCTTATAGGGGATGGGAAAAATGTTGGAAGGGGAATATCAGCTTGCAAATGAAATTCGGACACAACCTTGGGGAGGAAAGAGACATCCAGGGCCATGGTGACGCCATCATGGTGAAAAACCAGGTACAGAGAGTCGCAGCGAGGTGCAGACAATTCACTCACTCTCCTTGCTGAGGTAATGGCTACCAGGAAGGCAGTCTTTCACGAGAGAAGATGCAAACTAGACGTGGCCATGGGCTCAAATTGCCCGTCAGTCTAGCCAGTACCAGAGGTAAGTCCCAGGAGGGAATCGGCCCACGAGCCGGAGGAAAGAGACGAGTAAGACCCCTCAGAAACTGCTTCGAGGGTGCGAAAAAATGGAATAGCCATCTATCATAGGATGATTGACGGAGATGGCAGTTAAATAAACTCTTAAAGAAGAGCAACTAAGACCCAAGTCCAGGCGGGTCAACAGGAATCCGAAGATTACCCTCAAGTCCATAGGGGGCGATGGTAAACCCAGCAACCCAAGGTAAGACACGAACTTCTTCCACTTTCCTTCATAGGAAGTGCATGTAGATGGCTTACAACAGTTCAACTTGGCACCCACACATACACCTTGGAGGTGAACTCCCCATCCCTACAAGGATACATTCATGGTAAGGGTCAGTTCAGGGCTGGGTGTATGAAATGGGGCTCCCTGAAGGAGGTTTTCTAGGTTTTCCCACCACTGTAGGGAATGCAGCACCTGCACAGGAAGCACAAACCATTGAGACTGGAGCCACCACTGTGGATGGAAACGTTTGAGGAACCACAGCTGAAGTGGTCTCATCCGTAGTCTGGCAATGACAAGCACCACTGTGGCGGTGGCCATCAGAGTAGTTGAATCTGCTTTGCTGACGAATTTCCCTGTGTTCTTATCAGGTTGATGAGAGCGATAATATCTCCCACCCTTTTGGGAGGGAGAAAGGCTCGGCAGAGAGTCGAATCTAAAATTGCTCCGATAAACTGGACTCTCAATGAAGGAAGGTGCATCGACTTTTTTAGGTTCACCCTCAGGCCCAACGCATCTAGGGTGACCAGC